TTCTGGTGGCAAGCTCACCACCTACAGGTGACTTCACACTGACTCACTGGCAGCTCCATACTCTTTCCCTAATTCAGCTGCTACTGCCAAAAGACAAGGTACGCTGTTGACAAAAAGACAAGATCGCTGCTACGCTCCTATAACCCCAGCAACTTGACATTACTGTCCTGGCCGTAGTGCTCGCCATTCTTGGCATTACACTGACCTCTGGTGGGTTGTAGAAAAAAAGACGCTGAGAACCAGTGCGGATAAAAAGCCAAGGAAATCATACCCTGCAACTTTGGTGGGAGTTCAGCAAGGGCACGCAGAAAGTCTAACTTTGGAAGTGCCTCAAGATAGCCTGATAGGAACAATGCCACACTAATGCCTTGCTGCTCACGAATCACTTTAGAGATATTTCAGCTTTTACAACGATGTTCTCTCCAAACAGTCTACTGTGCTGTGTTAGGATTTCCTGTAACACCACTTAAATATGGTGCACACAGCAGCCCCTTAATCTTTATGAAGGAAAGGAAGCAAAGAATAGGTGGATCTACAAGCTTTCTCTGCAACATACATCTCAAACTGAAGTGCATATATTTAATCTTTCTTGACTCTTCTCAGGCTATATTTAATTATTTTTATTTATTATCTTCTATCACACATTTTAGTGTGCCTGAAGGCAAATTGTATGTTTTAGGAGTCTGACTGTTTCAGTGACCAGATTTGCGGCATGCTGCCACAAATACCAGCACTGACAAAATTCATGGAGCAGTTAATTGATGCTGGGAACTGAAATGAGGCCACAAGCCAGGAAGGGCAGGAACTGGTTTTCTTGCTGAAGAAAGCACAATGGGGAATTTTAGTCTTACAAGTTAGTGTTGGAATTCACTCAGGAAAACTAAGGACACACCCAGACAGAGTGGAACTAAACAAGATGCTTATTGCAGATTCAGATTTTAACTGCTTAGCGTTCACAGGAAATGAATGACTACTGAAAAGGATGAGGAGCCAGAACTGTGCTTACTCCACTTGAAGAGTAAGACTGAATATTCACTCTCCCTTGCACATAGTGATCAATTCATAAAAAACTAACTTATTTTGATATTATACTTCTTGGGGAGTGGTGGTGCAGAGAGCCCCCTTATGACTATGTCAGTTGCCAGCTGTTGAATTCTACTTTGAAAATAAGTAAGAGTGAATGAAGAGATCATTTATCATATGCAGTACTTTTTAAAACTAAAGTTAATGTAATTTAAAGCCTAATAGGCTCTTTCAATACTAGTCAGAAATATTCTCAGGTCCCACAGAATACATCAGTAATAAGAAAAGGCCTTTTGTGCATGTTCAGGAAATGCCCAAGAATATTTTAACAGAAAGGAAAAATCTCAGTTTATGTAGCTGTTAAGAGCAGACTCACTTAAGTGCTGGGCTTGAAACAGGTCAACAGACCTTGTACATACAAATGCTGACACGTACTTAGAGACACAGGTACCTTGCTGCTGGAAGTCTGCAGTGCCACTTGCAAGCTGGTTAAACAGACTGAAAAGAAATTTGTGCAAAAGAACGAATACACTAGTAAGTGTAGTAGTCATTATCATTGCTCCTTCCCATGCTTTTTCCATTTGGCAGGATGACAAGTAGTGCAAACAGCACTTTCAGCCAGCCAAATGATAACTTTTCAGAAAACCTTCAAGAAATTATTATTCTTTAGCCCTTTTATAATTTGGCTTAAAAAATATTGCCAATTGGCACTAAAATAATTCCAGTGATTAAATAATTGATCACATGATTAGGAAACAAAAGAGAAAGTAGTACCTCACCATTAACTTCAAAGACAAAAAAGCCTGACTGTCTTATGCCTTTTACTAGGTAGGTTCAGCTTTTCTTTCTTAATCACTGTAGGGTCGAAGTTGTCCTCTTGCGCCCCGTGGCTGCGTAGACAAACTGGAATACATCAACCACTGCATGCTGCTGGACAGTGGTTTAACTCAGATTCCACGTAAGAGGCCACAAAGCTACAACAGGGCTTGGTACCAGAGCAGATAATTCACAGCTGCTAACTGGGCAAAATGTACAATAAATAATCTGAACAACAGGGCCAGCTGCTGGGACAGAAGTGTCCTGACCTGGCAAAGCAGGACTCACGCTTTAACCTTCTGTTAAACCTCCCATATATTTAAATATGGTGTCTGTTTCCACCTCAAGAAGTTGTTCTTATCTACTAGGTAACTAAGAATTATTGTTAGTTATGCCTTCAATCTAGCATGTCCTGGTTTTGTGGGAATATTTGTAAAAAAAATAAAATTATCACAGATTCAGAGATTAGGAATTCAGATTCACTGTGATCACCTAGAAGAGAGGCACATTAAGTCATTCCAATTTGAATTATGTTCCCACTTTCCAGAAAATTCTAACCCTGACAGGACTAAATGAATCAGTTGAAAACATAAATAAATCCAGCTGTGCAGCATCATCTCCTGTCTTTTGTAAATTGTGCCTCTGATTATTTTTACTGTCTTCAAAGTTGTTCAGTAAGAAAACACAGGATGTGTGATCAATGTCCCTAACCTGTCTATGATCTGAAAAGCTTTGATCACTGTTTTCTTATGGTATATGATTGCTTCAGCAAGTTTACAGATGATACCAAACTGAAAGGCTTGAGAGAAGGGATTCTCTTCAAAGAGACTTCAACAGGTTTGAGGGGTGAGTTCGTAAGATTTGGTGTTGTTCAGTCTGGAGAAGAGAAGGGTACAGGCAGACCTTAAAGCAGCCTTTCAATACTTAAAGGGAACTTACAACAAAGATGTAGGCAGGCTTTTTACCTTTGCCTGTAGTGACAGAACAATAAACAATGGTCTGAAACTAAATGAGGAGAAATTTAGATTGGACATAAGGAAGAAATTCCTTAGCCTGAGGATAGTCAGATTGCCCAGAGAAGCTGTGGATGTCCCCATTACTGGAAGTCTTCAAAGCCAGGCTGGTGGGGCAGCTTTGTGCAGCCTGGTCTAGTGAAAGATGCCCTTGGCAACGGCACAGAGTTTGGACTAGCAGGTCCCTTCCAACCCAGACCATTCTGTGACTCTCTGACTCCGTAACAACTTCTGGATTTAGCTGAAGTGACCACATCATTCATAAAGGCAGTTAGTGTTCTATAGATGGAACATTTTCTCATTTTAGCTATTTAAGTTCTCCTGTATCCCCAGGCATAAATAATATATGTCACAGACATTTAAAGCTTTTTCCTCACTATACCGTTCACTTAGATAATCAAAACCTAGCTATATTTGACTTAAACATCTGTCCAGGCAGCTCTCCCTGAGCAGCAAATCAACACTTGACTGTATCAGCAACACAGAGTAACAGATCTCCACTGATTTAATAGCTTGACTGTCACAAACAATCTCATCCGTGTCCCTCCAAGACCACTACTTGTGAATTCTAATATCACTTTACTCAAAGTGCTGACCTTTATGCATGCATAAGTTTGGCTTGAGGCAACACCTAAGACAATCTTCCTCATGTACAAAACAGAATTTCAAACGACAAGCCAAAGCTATTAGAGGTGAATCTGTTTAAAATTAATGTTGATGTTATTTTAGTTTGTGCTATAAACAGAGCACTTATATACCCTGTCTTAGACATGTCTAAGCATAATGATGTAAAAGCTAATTTCTGTAAAGCAAACTAATGTTGCACTCCTGCAAGTATGAAGACTTTCCCAGAAGCTCTAAGTGATGACATCTGCTTGCCCCTTAACTTTTTCTTTTATTTATCTTTATTCCTCCTAACTGTCTTAGCTGCAATGAATCATGTCTCTTTGCCTGGGCATTAGGCAGCCTTTTCATAACCTCCTGTAATTTAGCTAAGGCATCACACTCCAGGCTGTTCTGCAGAAATGACTTGGCAACTCTAACTTCCGGACACTGTGTGCTTCCTTTGATGTTCCCAGGTAAGGAGGAGCCAAAAGAAGGAAGCAGACCACAGCAGCCCCAAGAAGCAGAGCAAGATGGATTCCAGCAAAGAACATGAAACCCTATAGAGTACCAGAAAACGCTGACCACTCCACAAGCAAAGAAGCAGGCACACAGACGTGAACTGCACAGATTCCAACTTGCACCTGACAGCTTGTGTTTCACCCACAGAAAGTTATGGACTTTGGGATTTATAAATGTGGGAATCAGTAACGTAGAATTTTTTGTTAGATGATAGCTTAATCCACCAGAGCAAGGCAGGTAGGAGAGTTGTACAGGTTTCCCTATAGCTGGCACCAGCCTCATCCTGCTCTTTTCTAGACATGCTGCCAGGTTATCCTCCTGGTGTACCTGCCTGCTCTGATTCCCCCTTCCCACAGGATTTCAAATGTGTGAAGACAAAGTCAGGAAAGAGCTGAGCTTCTGCCAGCACTCAAGCCTCAATATCGAGCACTGTCACAACTTGCAGAGTGAACCAAGGCTGGTTCCTCTCTTCATGTGCTCCCAGTGGAGGAAACAGCAGGAAACTGCTGGGGTGGATACAGCCCATTTTGGCTCTCTGAATACAGACACAGAGACAGGTTTAGAAAAGAAACATTGCTTATTCTTATATTGCAAGGGAGCAAAGTGGAGGTTTCCACAAATCAAGCACACCACAGGGTAAAAGGTCACAGCTCTCACACAGCAAAACATCCTCGGCCCACCTAAAGCATGCTTATTTCTGTGATGTAACCTTGCACAATTCTTCAAACACAGCCCTTTTCTTCATTAAGCAACTTCTACTGTGTGTTATCTGAGGGCACTGGTTACGTTTACAAAAGGCGAGGGGAGTTCAGCTGGGGACAGACAATTCAACCTGAAGGTATCGCAGCCACCAGCGAGAGGTACAGGGAATACAGAGAGGCCGCACAAAGGCCCCGGAAACACCAGGAGCGGCCAGAAGGAACAGGAAACACCAGCAATTTCCCCCCGACAGCCGCCACACAGCTCGGCGGGCGCGGCAATACGCATGCGCAGACAGCGGGGTGCGACGCTGTTTCCGTCTCTGAGGCGCCCCCATCGCCGCGTTGACAGAGCGGGGAGAGCCGATGCTGGTCCGCACCTCGGCGCCTTTCCGTGGCAGCGTCTCCTGCTCAGGTCTCCTTCTGCGTGGATGACCGGAGCTGAAGTCTCGCGTCTGCTGCGCACTCAGTATGCGGCCGCTACGCTGCGGGAAGAGAAGGAGACAGCGCACGGCGTGCCCTCCTCTTTTTCGGGAGGGATGGTTCGCCGCGCGGGAGGCGCGCCAAGGAGGCGCTCGGCGGCCGCGGCTGCTGAGGGAGCTGCGGTGTGGGGTTGTGGTTATTGGCAGTGCCTGACTTCGAAATCGGGCGTTTACCTCTAGTACGTCCTTTTAGACTCCTTGTACTGTTTGTGTGTCTTTGTCGCTCTTCCAAATATGTCTTCTCCTTTTCTTTCCCAGATGAAAGCAGTGGAAGTTGGTCAGTGGCCGGAGCATGCACCAACATGACTAAAAGATGTCCCAAGAGCATGGTATTCTTGGCTTTTCTTATTAAATGTTTGCTCTGTATATAATATTACTTAATTGTGAATTTTGAATTATTTTTCAACTTAATAATTGCTCTTTTTCATAAGCTGTGAATTTAATTTTGCTGGGGTATAGAGTTCCCATACTTAGGTTTTGGCCTTTGTGTTGCCCATTCATTCCTGTCCAGAATGGATGTGGTGTCAAAAAAGGCAAACAGGAATTCTTGCTCAAAGTGGTTTCGGGAGCTGGTTATGTACCTTCCTCCTCTCTGTTTTTGCAAGGACAAAAAAACCAAAAAAAAAAACCTAAAAAAAAAAAAAAAAAAAAAAACCAAAAAAACCATGTAGAAATAGTGTGGTTGAGTAGCTATGTAGTAGGTTTTATTCTTCAGTCTTTAAAAGTGGAGAATCTGACAGTTACTAAAAGAGGAAAATTATAATGGCCACTTTTAGCGTTGTTTAGCGCTCCTGTCTGTCATGATCTTTACATTTGCAATTAGTACATAACTTTCCAGGTTTCCAGCAGTGGCCTCTAGATTTTCTATTATAAAAATATATTTACAGCTTAATACTCAACACACAGAAAATATTAAAATCTTCTTAAAGGGGAAAAATTGTGGTTTGTTTTTGTAGATTTGTAGGTGTTCATTCAGTATTGGATAATATGTTGTCTGCTCTTTTGCTGGGCTTTCCTTGATGCCCTTTTGAAAGTTTAAAGTGTTCGTTGATATTGTCAGATTCCTGACAGAATGCTTAATGTTAGGAATGCTTCTTACAGGTTTCCAGTGTGTTTTGCTGGAAGTTCGGGATCTCCCTGTGTGGTGAAAGTCTCTGAGCATGAGAAGGGCATGTGGGAAGAAGCCAAGTGCTGATTGCAGGGCTGTGAGTAACAATAATTCCTTGTGCAACTCTGTCCTGTACCCTGCTGTTACAATGAAGCAGGCTTTCTGCTGGGAAGGTTTGGCACAATGACTTGAGAGCAGAAATTAGAACTGAAACAGTGAGAGTGAGATCAGCCTGATGGCTGTATTCATGTCAAAAAGAACAAAGTGGAAGCTACAAAATAAAAATTTTCATGTGGGTGGCTTGTTAAATCAGTATGCGGCGGCCAGCGTGTCCAAGACAAGGACTTGCTTTCTCATGTTTGCTTTTAGGGGTGTGATATTGTGGAGCAGTTCAGAACACAAGGATTGAAAATGTTAAAAAGAGTGGCAAAATATGAAAGAAAGCTTGGAATCTCATATGCCAGATACTGCTTCACTGTAAAGTCTTGGAAATGCCAGCACTATTGAAAAGCTGAGTAGCGCAAGTCAGCCCAAAATTCATTAGTACAAACAAGGTACTAATAAAAATTGCATACACTGTTAAGTCTTTCTCTGTTGCTGAGACTGTGATTTGTGTAACCTACGTACCCAAGGGTGTGACACATAATCCAAGTCTCTGAAGCCAGGAACTTCTAGGTCAGTACTGGAAATCTGGTGTAAGAATGATCCTGTACTACATCACTGTAGCTTTTGTTTGGGTTGGGGTTTTTTTCAGGAGAAAATATAACTAATCTTCAGTGAAGTGATGAAACTCCTCCAGGTTGGCCATAATGCTCTTGAAAGTAATAAAATTAGAAAGTTTCATCAATGAAATGTGAGAATCTGCTTGAGCAACACAGATGCACTGAATCCTTTACCACTGCTGCTGCTAGGAAGTGAGCCTGTGAAATCCATCCGCACCTTCTGCACCCTAGGCACTGGGGACTTTTGCAGGGCTGAAGAGTAAGGTGGGCACTCTGTGTATGAGTCTCTGTCTGGGAAGAGAAAAGTTTGTGTAATCCGTTATTCGCAGTGTGTCCAGTAACAAAGCTGCTGCTTGTTTTCCGACAAAAAATTATTAAATCTTGTGTTATTGGCTTACTGTTCCCAGTGTGTTTTCTAATGCACAGTCATATGTATGAGTTAGTACTGCAGAAATTTCCACTGATTCCCACTAGCCGGAAAGTGTTATTACTGCCACCAGCTTGTAGTTACCATCTGAATTCTTGCTTACGTGGGCAAAAGGCCTCTTTCAGGCAGGCTTCCTAAAATTTAGATTTGCAAATTTTACCTTTTTGCCCAAGGAATGAGGGGAAGCTCATCTTTGTAATTTTGTATTAGTGTTGGGGATTTAGAGAATGTTATTAAAAAGAGCTGTGTGCTACATGTGTCCAGTCTCACATTGTGTATTTATTTTTTTCCTTAGGAAGTATTGTTAGAACCAGCCTGAGAGCAATGCCTGTCCATTGAAACACTCCTAAGAAACAAAAAACTGTTTGAAAGATGGACTATTAAGTCTTCATGTAGTAAGACAAAGTGCATTTAACTGTATTGTGGCAGTGTCTGGTAATGTTTGTATAGACAAAAAATTGAAGATTAATGTTTCTGTTCTCAGAATTTCTGTCTTTCCCAAGCCTTAGTAACAGTTGCTTCTTTTAGAGAGTTTGGACTTCCTTTGTGTTATTGTTGGGATACCAATGCACTCCTGTGGATGAAACAAAGCCCAGGAGTGAGTTGGGATGTGATGACTTAAACCATGGTCTCCTGTAGTATTTGAAGATAGGGTTGGCTGAGATTTATATTGCAGTGAGCAAAAGTAGAAATTTTAAAAGTAGAAGTTCAGCAAACCTGGCTTTAAAATGAGTAGGAAAGATGTTTATCCAACATGGAGAATGGCAAGCTTGGTTTATTATCACCTTGACCAGCTACATCATGTGGTACTTCAGCATAACTTAGAGTGAAATACTCTTGAGATAATTGGGATTGCTGCTTATTTTTCTAGGAAGACTTAACATAGTTTATCAGAAGAACAAATGTTTAAATTGTGTATCTTGCAATGTGTGATTTTTCAGTACTGAATGTTACTAATTCTAAGTGTAAGGTTGTTTTTAGTTTGTCAAGAGAGAAGGGGGTTTAGACAAGAGTAATTAATTTTTAGAGGTCCAGCTTGTAATTATGGGATATACTTGAAAGTTTAGGGTTTTTACTAGGGATTACATTCCCTGAAGATACCATCTGTTCAGGAGTTCTGCTTATGGGCCTTTGTTCTTGAACTGTAAGACCAACAGGAGTAGCTTTTTAAAACATTAAAAAAAAAAAATCTCAAGAGCAACAGCTAGTGACTGATTTGATAATTGGTATTTAACACCATTGTTAGATACTTGCTTGGTATCAACCCCAGGGTAAACTTCCTTTCAGCTAAAAAAGATGTAGAACCCCAAGCTTTAATGTTTATACAGGAGTAGAATAAGGGAAAAGCGAGGTACAGGGAGCAATAGGTGTGTGCAAGGGTCACAGATTACGTATATAATAATGCTGGTAAATGTGAAGTACAGTGTTAAACATTAGGACTGCTAATTATTTTGTATGACTGGCTAACTGGATTGCAGCCTTGAAAAAATATCAGACTAAGAATCTGCTCAGCAATAAAAACTGAAGAGAAAGGATAAGGTATTAATATTCTGGAACAACCTGCTACATGTACTGAAGCCCTGCTTTGCAGGAACTGGGTGGACACCATGTGCTCCTGGAAAGTAGAAAAAGTAAATCTTTTGGAGTTTGAGGTTTTTTTGTTTTGGCTTCTGCTTTATTAAACTCCTTTATCTTGACCCACAAGTATTTTTTCCATCTAATTCCCTTGCCCATCCTGTTAAGGAGGGGGGTGGTAGAGCAGCTTGGTGGGCACCTGGTGTCCAGCCAAGGTCAGCATACCACAGCTCTTACTCAGGAGAACAAATACAGGAATAAAAACAGACACATTACGGAGGGAATGTTTGCCACACTGGCTCTGTATCTGTGTGTTTGCTTTGACAGCTTACATAGTCTGCTGTTGCTCTCTGGTGATTTTTAGGTGAGAAAGGAAGCTGGTATAGATGTGCACTGGAAATGCAAACCTTACATTGACAACTTCCAGCTACAAGATAAAAAACTTAATCTGGAGAAGCTGTATCCTCAAGTGGATTTTAATTGGTACTACACCTGTTTTTACCAGATGGTGGTGTCAAATGAATCTGTGTTTCTGAAGGCTTTACTCCTTAGTGTAATGTAAATAAGACACACAGGCAACCATGCAATGCCCTAAAAATTCAAGTTTTACTTAACTTTTAAATAACCTGGACACGAGTATTGACACAGCCATCTATCAAACTCATTTTAAAATAAAGCACACAGTTGCTTCATGAATACCTACTGTACATGGAACAAATGTATCACATTGGTATGTTCATGTATGTTGTCTTCAAACACCTTTCTAGGGAGTTCTGAATTAAACAAATCTTCCCAAAAGAAAACATGCTATCTCTTCAGCTCAATATCCACCTGTGTAAAAGGAATGAATTTGGCAACTTAAATGGTAATGACTTTGCAACAAACATCATCAATATAATGAGCTTGATTAGAATACAAGTTGCAGAGTTAGTGATACTGGTAAGAGGTGCAGTACAGAAAACAGCAGGTCCAGGCTAGTTCCAAATGAAAGAAACCAGCCAGCTAAGCGAGGGAATCAGTACAGGATATACAACAGTGCTTTTGTGCTGTGATTAGCAAGCCCTCTTTATTGTATAAAATACATGTTTTGCAAAAGGTTGTGCAAATATGTTGTAATTGTTGCTAATTAGTGAGAGTTCTATAACTTACCAATGCTTAGCACTTACGGAAGTCTCAGAAGAGGTAAAGGCAGAGGCAAATTTAAATCGTTGGCCTGAGATCAATTCAGGAGAACTAGGGTGAGAATGCCTCAAATAACAATCCTTTGTCCAAGTGAGCAGGGGTCTGTATATGGCATTCAACCCCAGGGTAAACTTCCTGACGCTGTTATGTATCTCATGTCTTTTGCCTGATTGATCAGGATGTGCAAGTATTTTACACTGACATCCAGACTCCAAATCTGCAAATGTAACTGCCTCTAGGCAGTGAACGCCCCAGGAGAGCTGGGGAAGGGTGGCAGCAGTGGAGAGGGCAAGGTGTAGCTCAGATCTGTAAGAGGCTGGTCACTTAGACATGTAGAGCTGGTTTAGGTGTGGAAGGCATAGCTGTGACACAGTGTTTTCAGTGATTGATCACTTATGTGTATATCTCACAAAAATACCATTTAAAAGGTGCTTTTTCTCAAATGATTGAGGAAATGCTTGAAGGGAAAAGAGGATCACATTTATGAAAAAAATTTGCTTTTCTGTACTATTAGGTGACAGTGACGTCCTTATTGCAAGTTTTGCCTTGTTTTGGCACAACAAAACATTTGGAAAACATGTAATAGGAGGCATTATATCTTTAGTCTTTTGTGGACACAAAACTGGATTGTAGTGGCCCAGGCTAACATCAGACTTGCTAAAAACCTGCTTCCTACATAGTCTCATGAGGGAGAAGATCACTAACTCAAATCTGGGGCTCTCTCCTTAAACTTCTCATCTAAATGCAATAAAGTTGGCTTGATTATCAAACAACTCTCTAGTGACTTGAGAATTTAAACCTTTCACTACTAGACTAGATAGAAGCTATTTTCTGGTGTAGTGCAATAAGTAAAATACCATGCACTTGGCTGATGTATTTGCTTAGTATTCAGCAATAACAAACAAAAGGCCCACAGGACGTTGAAAGCCCACAGGAAAACATGAGGTTGGATATAAACCTTCTTGATCAATATTTAAAGACTGGCAAGATAGGTACACTATGTACAGATAATTCTCATATAATAATACAAATCCTCCTGCAGAAGTAGATACATGCTACTTACCTATGCCTGGGTAAAAATAGCAAACTAATGGTAATGATTAGAAAGCAGCAAACTATAAAGCACATGTGTAATGTTCCAAGCTGGAACACCTCAAAGGAACAAGGAGTAGCTTTCATTGCTGGCACTAACCAGTTCTTGTATAGTTTGTCATTTTTCAGTTGTCTTCCAAAAGATTGTGATGCTCTCCATTAAGCCATTTTGCTATGGTGGTTTTTTTTTTTCCTAGGGGTTGGTCAGGGTTTTTGTTGTGGTTTGGGTTTGGATTTTCTTTTTAGTTTTGGCTTGGGTTTTTTTGTTTTGTTTGGGCTTTTTCTAACTGTGTTCTTGACAGTACTACACAAGGTCATAAACAGATCCTAAAGGATCACTTTAAATTGGAGGAATGATAATGAAACCATTTAACAAACTTACAAAGCTGAGCAAATACTTTAAGCCAAGCCCAACAATGTCCTAGAATTAAATCCACAGAAAATTAAAAAAATTCTAAAGAACCTCCATGAAAACTGAATTTTTACTAGAGAAGGGTTCTTGCTCTTTTTTTTTTTCCCTCACATTTGTTCACTGAGACTGTAGAAGCAGAGCTGTCCCAAGTAAATGACCAAAAAAAGTATTTGTTAAGTGAATCTGCCTTCCCTGCATTACTTCCCAACCTAGAGACCACTCCATACTGTGATAGGAATATACAAACTGTATGGCTGCCACCCTGGCTAGTAACATCCAGCTGACCACCTCAGATCATGAAACAATGAAGAATAAAAAAATAAAGTGGAAAATAAAACACATTGTACAACATTTTGCTTACCAGTTTAGTCAGTTAAAATGTGTAATTGTAATCCCATGCCTCTTGTAAGGTGTAACTTAAACACCTTATGCCAACTCCAGTTCTCAAGCAGTGTTGCTTTTCTGACAGGGCTGCCATTCCCTGGTATTGTTTGGACTGAAAGACACAGGATCACTGCAAATCTCTCTGGGTTTTGAGGGTTGAGTGTAGAGAGGACAGATGTAGAAAGGCACGTGAGCTGCTACAACTGTTTGTGACACTATTTGACTAATTCAGTACTTAGTTCAATGATTACACTTAGCAAAAAATTACTTCCATGACACAAAGACTTTGCTAAGCTCTCTAGCAAGTCAGCAACACCTGAAGGTTCATCCATGTGCTGACTGTGGACAAATGGGAGACAGAAAAGTGATTTTCAGATATTTGTGAGAAGTGCTAGGACAAGAGAAGAGCCTGGCATCACTTCAGATATGTATTAGAAGATAACCCACTCAATGTGCAGCATCATTAAAACTTAGTGTTCCTACCATGGCAATAGAAAAGAAATTATAGTTATCATACCTGAAATACTGCCTTTGTCATTTTAACAGTAGAAATGGCTCAGAGAAAAGTGACAGATTATTTTATACGAGATATTAAGACAGATTTTGCTAATCTAGATTAAAAAAAAAAAAACAACTATTTTCTAGCTGTTTTAAATACTACTTCACAAGTTTCATTTAACCAGCACTGAAGTGCCTTGTTAAGCAGTCTTATCACAGTGGGTCAATTTATATTCCCCTGTTTCCAGTGTGCTTTACTACATGTTGGTAAATACATGGAATGTATCTGTGGTATGGAATGTTCATTTAAATAATTCCTCTACACAAAAGGACATTCAAAATTTAGAGCACTTAAACCTGCCCAAAGCAAAGTCTGTGTCACCTCTGGAATGTACTGCTACAGCATGTTACAGAGTCTTGTTTTTGAGTTAAAATGGGTTGAGTCAGTATTTGTATCAACAACACAAGCATCTGTTATTGTCCTTGGTGAAAATAACACTTGTAAGAGCTATGTGTCCTTATGTCTCAGAACATAAGTTGATCCCCATATAAATTGTGAAGATATTTTCCCCATATCACACTGTATTGCACAATTGACCAAAAATATGACTATTTTACTTATCTTGATCCTGATCACGTCAGTTAAGAGTCACTTCTTGGAACAAGGCTATTCAGTTACAGAGCAGACCATGAAGCCTGTTTTGCAGCAATTTTTTTTGTTGTTGTTGTTCATCTTTTGGAAATGTAACTGCTGATCTCTCAGTTTTGCAAGGACTTTTGGTTTTGGTTGTCTGTGAGGCAGCTTGTCGTCAATCAGTCATACCACTAGAATGGTGTTGGTGATAAAACCATTGCTTGGTCTTCCCAGCAAGCAGGCTGCACTGCCAGGTGTCCTGAAGGAAAGACCACCCCGTTGACTTCAGTTCCTTCCCTTGCACACATAAACAAATTCTCACTTTCCAAAGACCAAAATCCATTCACCATCTTCAATTCATCAGTCAAGTCTCCACCTTGAAGCGTGACACCTGTACAGTCTTTACAATCTTAGTGTTGGGTTTTCCATCAACATTGTTAGTGGATAGCAGAGATGGTTCTTCTATTAGGCTGTCCTTAGATCCATTCTGCCTCTGAAGAGAATAAATTAAACATGTTGTTGAAAAGACACAGCAGAATTTAAACACTGTATTTTGCTAACTTGCTATGAAAGCCTTCGGCTATGGGTATGGCAATTCATGTACACACATCAGGAATATTAGTCTCTACATTTATTTGATCAAACAGAACTTTTTTCCCCTCTTCCCTCCTGCCAGCTGCTGCCCCTTTGTGCTATTGCCTCTTCAGAAAATGCCATGATTAATTATTTGATATTTAGCAAAACACTGCAAGTAAACACTCACAAGGAATTAATGGCCACAGTCATGAGGGAGACTGGGGCAGAGGAAGAAGAGAGGTGTTTGTACACACTGAACATTTTAACATTACTGGTATGGTAAGTTAGGTGTTTGGAATTCTCCCTTCCATCTTTTGGTTCCCCTTTTGTGTGTTTGTAATAAAGACCTCTGAGTGCTTTTGAACAGAATTTGCGTCTCACATTCTGACCTCAATAAAACTATCAAAACTGAGAGATATGGTAGTGTAATGTATGATGAAAGACAGTGATTAAGTTATATTAACAAAAGGGAAGTTCTGTGCTTTTTAGATGTCAATAGCTTAAAAAAATTTTCAGTATTTGTGGGGGGAAAAAATAGAAAGAAAATTAAAGAAGCACTGTTTCAAGCCCAAGCAACAAAACTCTTCTAAAAGAAATTAATAAATTATGTGATTACAACTGCATCACAACTACATTTGCATAATTCAAGAAGTGGTAAAAGTCAGTTTTCCTTCAGTGACAAGCAGAGATACAACTTAGGAATGCATCAGATTGGGAAAGAGTTCTCCAGCAGCAGAAGTAGGTGTTCACAGGAGCATGTACTAAGAACTACATGTATTTTGAAATACAAACAAAGTCTAAGTAAAATACAAAAGTTCAATTCACGCTGCTGCTGAAAAAAAACTCATCTTTATTTTTCAGTGAAAAACAAAGACTATCTTAAATAAAGCACTAGAGCCCCACTTCTCCCTCCAGTAAAAAGGAAAATTGAAAAGGATGTACAATCACTAACCTGTTGAGTCAGTTGGATGCTGGGAACTTTCCCATCTGAAGATCGTGTCACAGGCAGTGGAGGGACCAGATCAGTTTTGACACTGGAATTATGGTATCACAAAATGGATACTGCTTTAATGAGGTAAACTATAACTGTGCAGAGGAAGAACAGTGAAACTGACACAGACTGTTCTGTAGATCTGAAAGGCTTCTATCGCTTGACTTAGGACAGCTGAAAGCTGTCATGCTAGTCCTCTGTGGGCACCTTCAGGGCATAGCCCATCCCATCCATGTCTTTTCCTGGTCTTTGAAAGCAGCCCAGATTGATACAACATCACTGACAGAATGGTTTGGTTTGGGAGGGACCATAAAGTTCCACCTCCTGCTATAGACCTGGATACCTTCCACTATCCCAGGTTGCTCAGAGTTCCCTTCAACCTGGTCTTAGGCACTTCTAAGGATGGGGCAGCCACAGCTTCTCTGGGCAACCTCTGCCAGGGCCCAGCCACACTCATGGCAAAGACAAGTCTCACATGAAATCGTGGGTGTGCCACACCTCCTTCAGGGTGCTATCCAGCTACAGCTAACCTTTCTGCTCGTTTCAAAAGCTAGGGAACTGCGTTGCATATTTTTATGGCCTTGTTGCAACTGAGAATGGGGCTGTTGCTTTTCCATTCAGAAGTACTCTTCAGTCTTCTGAAAAAGACTGATCCACCAATTTATGAAGGGGGTTGTACTAGAGTTCCCATGAAAAGAATTACAGACTAACACTGATAACATCTTAACTCTATCAAGGATGAAGTTACCTGGAAAGCAACTCATGGATTCTCATCCCCTAAGCAACATTATGACCTACCAGTAAAGACAATACAGGTTTATTTCAGCCTTTTCAGTTTTCCTCCTTCCAAATGGATCAAGAAAGCCACTGTGGCTGAGAACAAACCATAAAATGTTTTTGGAATTATTTCATTTATGTTTAGCTCTGAAGGCATACTATTCAGAGGGTTGCCTGAACCCTGTCGAACCAACAAACCATTTTTATGCAGCTTCATGCCACCATGATCTCTAAACAACCTTTGGGCTGCACTAGACTAGTTCAGTGCTAATAACCATGTTCACATACTTCACTTCAGACAGGACAGATCTCTCCCCATCGGAGCACTGGGACCGCCGGTACTGCCGGTAGCTGCGAGGGGAGTGCGAGTGCCGGATTCGGATGGGGTCACCTTGAGTCCTGAGAGAGACACAGAATTTACAGCAGGGGGTTGGTAAACCAGATCTTTGGCACAAAACATAAATTCATCTGCAGACTGAGAGTCTTTGCTTTTTGTACTGAAGTGTAACAGATGGCTTTTTCCAGTGGCTGAATTTAAAGGGCTGATGCTTCTTTTTAGAAGTCTGCACTTGGAATTTAATGCTTTAAGAGAGGAGAGGAGACAAACTGGCATGCCCATATTTCAGAATGGAACTTTAATAAAGAATACAATAATTTATATGTCCTTAATATCAACCTTTTCTGCATAGTGGTATTTGGAAGTATATTATAATGCAACCCAGGATCCCATTTGTGCCACATTCAGCTGCTTGCACTGAGACTTGGAATCCCAAATGGGCAATTATTGCAGTGAAATGGATGTTGGTTCTTAAGGAAATAACTGTGCCCTGGCAGCTGCCCATGACAAGCC